AAAATAAAAGTTATTAATAAAAGTTTCATTAGAAGTTATTTTAGAGATAATTCAGTCTGAATCCTGCATTTTACAAACAGGCTCAAAGAGTCTTTAGCTCCAGATTACATTACAGGGCAGGCTCTGATTCTTAGAATGGTACCCATTCCAAAGACTCACTACCTTCCAGGCTAGAACCCACAGGTGAAACTAGATTCTTCGGATCTCTGAAGCCTGATTGGAGCTGCACTTGGCCTCCTGGGGCATCGTTCAACTCGAAGAGGTAGGGAAATGGCTCCTGCTCTGGGCCCAGGTTCAACAGCACTCCTTGAAGCGGATGTCTGAGGTAACCATCCGGAGACAAGACTCCTTTCGATTAGATTTTTTAAATTAAGAGCTGTGGTGTTTGGCAGAGCATTCAGTTTCTTTCTTGGCAGACACATCCACGTGCTTCTGTTTTGTGTGCTTGATGTTGAAAAGCAAGTCCATGGCTGAGGTCCGTTTTTTTCATTATCAGATGCTTGACATTTGGACAGTGTTCCCGGATCCGAGCCTTACAGAGAATGCCTTTGTTCACACGGGAGCTGTCTCTCCTCCTTCCGTCCTCCCATCACCACGCACCCACCCTGTAGTCCACCACCGCTGAGGCACTACGGGGGGAGGGTCTCTGCCAACATTTTAAAATCACCTATATAAAATGCAGAGCCCTTGCTGCGTGGTAAAACACTCCCTATCACAAACATATGTGGGCCCTGCTTCTTTTGTTACCCATTTTTTTGGCAGTCAGAGAAGTGCCATTTCATCTCTAAATGTGTTTTGCATTCACAGAAGAGTCGCCAGGTTTAGTGTGATATTTGCCACTGGTTTCTGACTGGCGGCCAATTCCTTTTCCCACCTCCATGGCTCATGCTGCCCTGAAGCAGCAATCTGGCCTCCCAAACTGGACGTTCTGTGCAAAGAGCCAAGCACGACACGTGTGCAATGCTAGGCACTGGAGTGTGGCGTGAGGCTGATCCGGGACCTAAAATAACAGGTGTTGGTCGCAACCCTCACAGAAGCTTGAGGGGAGCCTGTGTGTTCCAGGGAGTTCCTCATCAGGACCGGGAGGTGACATGTCCATTGGTCCTGGCAGCTCAACATTCATATTTACCCTGAATGGCCTCAATATTAACATTACAACTTGCCCTGATGGTTTGGTTTTAAATAAAATATTTTCCCAGATCCTTTATTTATATATATATATCTCACTTGTAAGTGATCTAGGGTAAGAAAATAGCAAATTTATTATGTCAGGTAATGTTCTAAACTTATTAACTTAGCTGAATCCTCTCCACAGTTCTGTGCAAATACCATAGACCAGGTGGCCTCAACAAAAGGAACTTATTTTTAATGATTCTGGAGACTGGGAAATCCAAGATCAAGGTGTTAGGCAATGTAGTTCCAGGTGAGGGATCTCTTCCTGGTTCATTGCCTTCTTACTGTGTCCTCATACGGCAGAGAGAATATAAACCAGTAAGCTCTCGGGTATCTTTTCTTGAAAGGACGCCAAGGACATTAAGTCAGAACCTCATCCCTGCGACCCCATTTAACCTTAGTTATCACCTGTAGATTTTTAAGTCTATACATTAGGGGTGAGTCATATTAGGGGTGAGGACATTAGAATGGGGAAAGAGTTATGTACAGAATCCAGTCCACAGCAGGTAGGTTAAATGCATTTTTTAAAATGAATAAATGGGTTAAACCATACTGTAGACATAGCAGTAAGAGAAGAACAGAGATCTAAATGAAAGTTCAATAGAAAGTCTCCAAATTGAAGCATAAAAAGCTATAAGGGATAAAATGAAAAGGTCTAGCATTTGTGTAAACACAGTCTTCAAGAGAAAAGAGTACAGCACAAGAAATATTTGAAGAAATGTATCTGAAGATTTTTCAGACACTAACAGAAGATACTGTTTCAAGAAGTTCAAGAAACGCAAGCAGGATACATATTTATATTCACTCTTTATAAGAACAAACAGGAAAATCTCTGGAAAATGAAAATCTTAATAAATAATCAGGTGGGGGAAAAAAATCCCCAAACAAAAATAAAACAAAACATGGATCACCATCCAAGGAGCAGCAATAAAATGCATTGCTCACTTCTCATTAGAAACGATGCAAGTCTGAGGATAACAGAGGAATATCTTTCAAGTGCTTCACGAAAGGTGTTGCCAAGCTAAGACACTATTACACAGGAAATGTCCTCCACAATTAAAGGCAACAGAAAGACTTTTTAAGATAAAAAACAGAAAAAAAAATGTCAACATAACATTTCTAAAATAAATGCCAATGCGATTTCTATAGGTAAGAAATGCAAGAAAAAATGAAGTGCAAATAAAAGGGTAGATTTATGGGTAACTCCCAGGGGCTCCCAGTATCAAGGGCTGCAAACAGCATCTTAGCATATGTAAACTAGATATGGACTTTTCCAAGAATAATACAGAAAGCAGGAGCATTGTAGGGAAGAATCAGTGTTCTGAGATTCTTGAATTTGTCTGGAAAAGTGACAAAATTCTAATTTATATTAGGATGAAACAAGACTAGAATTTACATTGTACTGTCTAGGGTCATCACTAACCAAGATGAAAAGAAACCACCGCTAACAAGCTTATGGATGAGAAAAATGAAATGATGGAAAACACTTGAGTTATAAAAGAGAATGTAATAAAGGAAAAGGAAAATACAGAGCAAACAGGACAAACAAAATAATAATAAAACAACAGAATTAGGAACAACTGGTAATTACACTGAATGTGAATGGAATAGTAGAATTAAGAAATAGTGTTAGGATCCATAAAAAAAAAAAAAAAACACCACACCACTCTATGCTGCTTAAAAGAGACTCCCCTAAACAAAAGGTTATAGAAAGATTGAAAGGAAAAAGTTCAAAAAAAGATGTCATGTACATGGTTTCAAAAGAAAGCTCATGTAGTTGTGCTATTATCAACAAATTAGACTTTAAAGACAAGAAGTATCATTATAGATAAAAAAATTTTTTCAAAAGAATAAAGATTTAATACTAATAAAATGTAACACGTCTATAGTTGTATATAATTAATTAACAATATAAAATTAGGGGCTGGGGTTGTGGCTCAGCAGTAGAGCAGTTCGACTATCGGTGCCAGGCTCTGGGTTCGATCCTCAGAACCACATAAAAATAAATAAATAAAGGTATTGTGTCCAATTACAACTAAAAATAAATAAATATTTTTTTAAAAACACAACACAAAATAAAGTAAAAATAGATATAAAAGGAGAATAGATATATCTTCAATTATAGTGAGATAGTGAGAATTGTCTTTTGTGTGTGTGTGTGTGTGTGGTGCTGGGGATTGACCCCAGGGCCTTGGGCACGAAGCAAGCACTCTACCAACTGAGCTATATCCCCGGCCCCTATAGTGAGAGGTTTTTAACAAGACTCTTTGTTAACTAACAGAACAAGGAGAAGAAAAAGGAAAATAAAATCCAAGGTGGGCAGGGGTAAGAATATTAAGAATTGAACAAAAAATTGTTAGAAACTGTCCTAATAGACACATAAAGCAGTATAACCAACAACCACAAAATATACCTTTTTCATAAGTATACAAGGAGCATTTACCAAAAATAACCATCTTAGAGGGCACAAAGTAAATTTAAAATAAACAAAATTATAAGAAATATATTTTCTATATGAATTAAACAGTAATTAAACTATTTAAAAAGAAAAAAAGAATATGTTTTCTGAACAGCGTATGTTTCCTTATGCTTGAAATAAATGCAAAAACAAACAAAATGTTGGGACACTAAGCAATACACTTTAATTAAGCAAGACACCTAGGCCAAAGGAGATAAAACACCACAGAAATTATGACTTTTTAAATAATAATTAATTAGCTAATATTAATGAATGTTAAAATTAATTAACATTTTAATTAAATCATAATAAAACTATGACAAACTTCAGGTGTACTTAAGGCTAGACCTAACAAATTCATCCCATTGAGTGTATACTAGAAATGAAGAAAGGCTTTAAATTCATAAACTAAGTAACTGAAAAAGTTAAAAAAAATAGTAAATCATATATGAGGAAAATTATAGTAAAACGACAACGGGATAAAAGCACAAATTAATAAAACAGAAAGTAAAAATACAATAGAAAAAATCAACAAAGACAAAAATGGTTCCTTGAAAAAATAGTAAATTTGTTTTACCTCAGGCAAGAAAATGGAAAATGTCACCATACATCTTAAGAGACATGAAGTGATGACATCACAAAAGCAATTTGATGTTAATGAATTTGAAATTTCAGATCAAATACAAAAATTCCTGAAAATATTACAGCCTATGGAAACTGATACAAGAAGAAATAGGAAAACTGATTGCTCCAATATCTATAGAAATTGAATCACTTCCCCTCAAAGAAACCCTCAAGCCCTGATGAATTTTAAGAATTCACCAATGAATTTTCCTGACACTGAAAGATTATGTGAGACACCTGAAAGAGAAGACACTTCCTAATTCATTTGATGATGCCAGCAGATCCCTGACTCCAAAATTTAAAGAGGACATTATGAGAAAGGAAAATCACCAGAGTAACATCTGACCCATGACGTGGAGGTCACACAGGGGTACCAGCGAGAGAGACTGCCTTAGGGCTCCATATGGAAATATAAAAGTGTGGTCGCATATCTTCCAGGGGAAATTATATTGACCCTTCCTCAAGTGATTTGTCAAGCTCCTCTTTGTTCCTAAATGAACTGTAATTCTTTGGTTAATGATCTGTCACTTTGGGCTAACTATTCTTTTTCACTGCTCCTTTATCTCTTGAGCAGTGCCTATAGTCTGTCTGCTTCCATGTCAAGTCCTATGTCCTTTAACATGAACTCAGACCCCCCCCCTCTGTGGAAAGCAAGGCCACACACAGGCCTTATTAGGATTCAGACTTTGTTTTCAGTCCTACTCTCCCATTTCTACAACCTGTATGCTGCCACGCGGTTCCATACCTGATGGAAGTTTTCCACTTGCCGGACGTAACCAGCCACTTCATTATCAGATTTAAAGATCTTCCAGACTACTCTTCTTGACTTCTTGTATTTACGGAATCCTTTCCAGTTCATGGTCATCAAGGAGCGCTCTGTCAGGGAAGCCGCCACAATAATATCCAGTTGGCCACTGTAGAGAAGAACCTGAAATGAGACAGAGCTGTCAGCAAAGGGAATTCAGAAGGTAAGGCTGACAAACTTAGCTAGGTAGACAGAAAGAGCCAGTGAGAGGGAAAAGGCCACTTGAACTTCTTTGATATCGTGCTCCAAGAGTCCAGCCCCACAGATCAGAGGTTATGTCCTTCCAGGTAGGCACACTCCAACCACCTGTAATAAATTCAAGCCCTGTTTCAACCATTGTATCCTTCCAAAAGTTTGATTCTTTATAGAAATCTGCAAAAAGGCCTCACCTGGTTGTAAAAAACATTTGAGCTGTATTAATTACCCAGAAATATATGTTTATTATATGCACACATATTTATACAGATATATATGAATATATATGCACAGAGAGAGACCACGTGTACCTATGTCTGTATGTGTGTGTATCTGGGCTTCACATGGATGTCCGGTTCAACGACAACGACTGTGATTATGTTTAGTGGAACTAAGGAATACTGCACCCTGGGATTTCACGCGGCCTGTGTTTCATTAATCGCTTTCAGGCACTGCTGGAGCTGCAAACTGGGCTTTTTCTCGGGTGCTGCTGATCAGTGTTGCTCTGTCTTCCTACCTCGATTGAGTTCCTTAGCAACTGTGATTCTTGGAAGCAGACAGATGCAGGTGCCTCAGCTCTTGTTACTTGCTGGAGGCAGTGATGCCCTCCATGTGGTTTCTCAGACTTCCTCTTGTTAAAAAAGATGCCATTTGCCCACAGTGGGGACTGTCCTTTCTTCCTAGAAGGCAATTTCCCCCTGAGCTGATGGACAATATAGGAAAAACAATGCTGAGGCACTGCTACTCTTTTCTTCCCATTTTTTAACTTGTGTGTGAAACTGACTTACAAGTACTGAGACTCTCTGGCCCAGCAATCTCAGTTGTGGAGTGTACTCTATGCAAATAAGCTCAAAGGAATGAATGTAATTTCTATATTCACTGAGTCTTATTATAATCGAGAACTCAAAACACAATCTGAAAGTCCTGTAATTGGTGAAGAGTTAAATACATAGGAGTTCTATGGGATGCTATAAAGCCATTTAAAACATTTAATGGAGTCACGCCACGATGCAGGAGATGGCTTGTCATATAATGTTAAGTATGAACCCTGAAATTCAAATACAAGGCCTATCACGATTATAAACATAAAACAGGTGGACACATTCACATACATGGAATGGAAAGTTTGATAATGTTAATACAGTTGGTTAATTTAGATGGTAAAAATCGGAGTCCTTTCCCCCCTTTGTTTCTTATTCTTCTTACGCTATTGACACTCTACTCAACAAAGAGGTTTCCCTCAACTCCATTCAACCTTTGAAGTATCTGGAGGCTTTGGAAGAATCCTCAAATTGGATATCAAATGTTTCACTGCATATGTTTCCATCTCTGCCTTCATGGCACAGGCTTCTTAAAAGGCTTAAGCATAATTAAAAAGCCCAGGACTTTACACACCCCAAATCCTCAAGTAGCGGCGAGACAGGATTCAGGCTAAGATGAAAGAGTCCTGGGCCTCTCCTGCAGGAACTTGGGGCCTTTCATGTTCCTCAGTCACATCACCACCCCCACCCTCCTCCACAGAAACCCAAGGGAAAAAAATCCTGATAGATTTAAATCCTCTTTTAAAAAAATTCAAGTCAACTACAACAATAAAATATTTGCATTGTTTATACAAAGAAAAAGCGGGCCTCAAAGACCTTGAGTCTTTATTTCTGGCCTATGCAAAACCTCTACAGCTGCGTTGGCCAAAAGTATGGAAACAATTATATATGATGGGTACCAGCGAACAAGGCTTAAATACTTCAACATTCTAGGAAGGCCTGTTTATAGCTGATTAACAAAGATAATCCTGTATAAACTAACTCCTCTTTTAGAAATCAATGAAAAGATGCTGATTAACTAGCAAATACACAAGTGCAACTATTTATTTTTGCTCTCCATGGCCCCATATACAGCTTGCATCTGCTCCCAGAAGTGTTTCTTGCAGCTACCTTTACTATCATCACTTTCTTTCATTCTTTTGGCACAATAGTGAAATCCACAGATTATGGTAAAAATGGGCTTCAATGTACGGTTTATAGTATATGTTTCCTGAACTGGAAACCCAACCTTGAGCAGTTTCCCTTCTTATTCAATACTCCTCATAAATAAGAGCGCAAGTCTGTGGAACAAGGCAGTGAAGAACTGAACTTGTAATCTGGCTTGTGCAATGTGCAGAGGGAGGTAAATGGAACTACTGTGGGAGGTAAATGGAACTCCTTCCTTTTGCAAAGCAAAGAAAACATTTTTTAACTTCTAAGGAGCACATAAGCCCAATGCAACAGGAAGGAAATCAGATTAATGATTATGATGGCTAATCTTGGTTGCCAACTTGATTGGATGAAAAGATGCCTAGAAAGCTGGTAAAGCACACTTCTGGATGTGTCTGCAAAGGTCCTTCCAGAGGCAGTTGGCATGTGGGTCAGTGGACTGCGTGGGGAGACCTGTCCTGGAGATGAGGTGCACCATCCAATCGGCTGGGGTCCCAGATGAAACAAAGGAGCAGGAGAGGAAGTGTTCTGTGTGCAGGTTCCGCCCTTCTTTGGCAGGTACATTTTGTGGCTGCATCTTCCATGGGCAGCAGACTACATCAGACTCCAGATTCTTCAGCCTTAGAATGGGGAAATTGTGCCACCAGCTCTCCAGGGGGCTTCCAGCCTTCAGCCTCCAGCTGATGCTGCATCACTCATCCCTCTTATTCTGAGGCTTCCAGCCTCTGAGACTCAGCAGCTACTAGTTTCCTAGCTCTTCAACCTACAGCCAGCCATGGTGGGACTATTCAGCCTCTGATCATGTAAGCCAACCTGATAAAGTCCCTTCTATAATCATATATATGCTCTTGGCTCTGTTACCCTGAAGAACCCTGACAAACATAATGATCAAGCAAAATGATTTTAGACCTGGTATTACAGGTGGCCAGCTTTCAATGTAAGATTCCCAGAGCTTTTATTTTATCTTTAAATTCATTTATTTTTTTAGTACTAACCCAGGGCCTGTTTACCATTGAGCCACATCTCCAACTCCTTTTATTTTGAGACAGGGTCTCATAAGTTGCTGAGGGCTTCTCTCACTTGCCTCAGCCTCCCAAGCTGTTGGGAATACAGGCGTGCACCACTGCACCTGGCCCCAGAGCTTTTAATTTTATCTAAGTGTCATATATACTCCTATATGCCCCCACAGAAATATTCAATTGTGTGCCTCTGGAGTGGAAGAATGGGTGAGATATCCCAGGATCCAGTGCCTCTGAGCTGAAGTGGCATGGCATTGTAGATGTGGTCCTGAAGCCAAGGACACATGCTGGCAATTCACACCCTGAGTCAGAGAAGGTCCAGGTCAGCACCTAAGCCCAACATGTTGGCCAACCACTAAAGATGGGCACCTCACTCGCACCAACTCTCACAGTTCACCTGGACTGAGGAGTTTCTCAGGATGCAGGACTTTCAGTAGTAAAACTAGAACAATCTGGGGAAAATCTACCCTTGAGGCTTGTTGGCAATTTTTAAAAAAATATTTAGGTATAGATGGACACAACAGAATGCCTTTATTTTTATGTGGTGCTAAGGATTGAACCCAGGTCCTGCCCGTGCTAGGCGAGTGCTCTACCACTGAGCCACAATCCCACCCCCTTGGCATTTTTAATGACAAGGTCTACAGGCAGAGATGAATACAGCTTTTAGCTACACTTGCCTTACCAGTGGTATCTGAACAACAACAAGAAGCAAGCAAATGAAGGGCTGGTTGGAGGTGTTCCCAGTGACCTACCAGACAGAGTCCTGAATACCCTCTTTCCTCGCTTTCCTTCCTGGTTAGCTCTGGGGATCCAGCCAAGGAGCCAAGGCATTCCTTTGTAAGAACTTTCTTTGTGAGAGGGCTGGGTGCTTAGCCCATTGAAACTGATGGTTATGCAAAAATGCTTATTTTATTAAAAAAACAATGGAAACCTGTGATTCTACTTGTTTGAACTCTATAATTACCACATTTTAAAAAACATTCTTCAAACTTGGGGAGAAATACATCAAAATACTAGCAGTTATGGTATTTAAAGAGTAGTTGATTTGTTTTAGTTTCACTATTGTCTGGGAGTTTTTTTGTTTTGTTTTGTCAATGTGGTTAGGATGCTTTAATAAGGAAAAAAATTGCAAAACCAACAATAACACTAAGAGGTTGGGCTCCTCAGTTTGACAAAAGATGAGTCTTAGGGGGGGAATAACATGGAAAAATTCAAAAACTACCAGCTCTCAATTTTTAATAACAATTAGGTAAAAAGCTTGACTTTTATTTATAGACCATCTTAAAAAACTCATCCCAGATCCAAGTATTTATGAGAGATGGCATTAGGTGATTTGGATCACAAGCATCTTTTTTTTTCCTTTTATAAAAGGCAGAGATAAGGAAAGAATTTTTATTTTTATTTTTTAACTCTTCAAAGTGCTTTCCTGAACACGTCTTTATTCTCACACTCCTCCACGAGGCAGGGATGAAAGGGACCACAATTGCTACTAAGGAAACTTTGATGCTCTGAGTCCTGGACCCTGGACTTCCAAACTTCCACCTAGAGCTCCTTCAGAAAGAGGCTCCATTCTTTCAAACCAACATGTACTTACTGATTTTCACAACTAAATGTTTATTGCTACCAAAAGCCTCTGGAAACTCAGTTGGCTGAGTATGAGACATGGTTCCTATCTCCAGTTCTGGACTAACCTTGTCTGTTTGTCCAACTCTGCTGACATCTCTCATTTTTCACTTAGGTTCTATGGACAAAGATTATATAAAGGTATTATTCACTCTCTGACTTCACTGGGCCTGTATTTCCACCCAGCAAAATGGGCAGATATTGTACACTAGCTGTCCCCCTTGGACATGGCCCCAGTCTTCCCTAGTGTCCTCACACACCACAGAGTATGCTGCAGTTACCATTTATTCAACATCTGTGCTATTGTTTTTCTTAG